ATCCGCTGACACGTCCACTCCCAAATATCTGAATACGTTCACCTCCTCCATACTCTCTCCCTCCAATCTGATATTCAATCTTTCATCACCTAATCTTTTTGTTATCCTCATAACCTTACTCTTTCCTGTATTCACCTTTAATTTTCTTCTTTTGCACACCCTACCAAATTCATCCACCAATCTCTGCATACTTCTCTCAGAATCTCCCAAGAGCACCGTGTCATCAGCAAAGAGCAGCTGTGACAACTCCCACTTTGTGTGTGATTCTTTATCTTTTAACTCCACGCCTCTTGCCAAGACCCTCGCATTTATTCTCTTACAACCCCATCTATAAATATATTAAACAACCACGGTGACATCACACATCCTTGTCTAAGGCCTACTTTTACTGGGAAAAAATTTTCCTCTTTCCTACATACTCTAACTTGAGCCTCACTATCCTCGTAAAAACTCTTCACTGCTTTCAGTAACCTACCTCCTACACCATACACTTGCAACATCTGCCACATTGCCCCCCTATCCACCCTGTCATACGCCTTTTCCAAATCCATAAATGCCACAAAGACCTCTTTAGCCTTATCTAAATACTGTTCACTTATATGTTTCACTGTAAACAACCTGGTCCACACACCCCCTACCTTTCCTAAAGCCTCCTTGTTCATCTGCTATCCTATTCTCCGTCTTACTCTTAATTCTTTCAATAATAACTCTACCATACACTTTGCCAGGTATACTCAACAGACTTATCCCCCTATAATTTTTGCACTCTCTTTTATCCCCTTTGCCTTTATACAAAGGAACTATGCATGCTCTCTGCCAATCCCTAGGTACCTTACCCTCTTCCATACATTTATTAAATAATTGCACCAACCACTCCAAAACTATATCCCCACCTGCTTTTAACATTTCTATCTTTATCCCATCAATCCCGGCTGCCGTACCCCCTTTCATTTTACCTACTGCCTCACGAACTTCCCCCACACTCACAATTGGCTCTTCCTCACTCCTACAAGATGTTATTCCTCCTTGCCCTATACACGAAATTACAGCTTCCCTATCTTCATCAACATTTAACAATTCCTCAAAATATTCCCTCCATCTTCCCAATACCTCTAACTCTCCATTTAATAACTCTCCTCTCCTATTTTTAACTGACAAATCCATTTGTTCTCTAGGCTTCCTTAACTTGTTAATCTCACTCCAAAACTTTTTCTTATTTTCAACAAAATTTGTTGATAACATCTCACCCACTCTCTCATTTGCTCTCTTTTTACATTGCTTCACCACTCTCTTAACCTCTCTCTTTTTCTCCATATACTCTTCCCTCCTTGCATCACTTCTACTTTGTAAAAACTTCTCATATGCTAACTTTTTCTCCCTTACTACTCTCTTTACATCATCATTCCACCAATCGCTCCTCTTCCCTCCCGCACCCCACTTTCCTGTAACCACAAACTTCTGCTGAACACTCTAACACTACATTTTTAAACCTACCCCATACCTCTTCGACCCCATTGCCTATGCTCTCATTAGCTCATCTATCCTCCAATAGCTGTTTATATCTTTCCCTAACTGCCTCTTTTAGTTTATAAACCTTCACCTCTCTCTTCCCTGATGCTTCTATTCTCCTTGTATCCCATCTACCTTTTACTCTCAGTGTAGCTACAACTAGAAAGTGATCTGATATATCTGTGGCCCCTCTATAAACATGTACATCCTGAAGTCTACTCAACAGTCTTTTATCTACCAATACATAATCCAACAAACTACTGTCATTTCGCCCTACATCATTTCTTGTATACTTATTTATCCTCTTTTTCTTAAAATATGTATTTACCTATAACTAAACCCCTTTCTATACAAAGTTCAATCAAAGGGCTCCCATTATCATTTACACCTGGTACCCCAAACTTACCTACCACACCCTCTCTAAAAGTTTCTCCTACTTTAGCATTCAGGTCCCCTACCACAATTACTCTCTCACTGGTTCAAAGGCTCCTATACATTCACTTAACATCTCCCAAAATCTCTCTCTCTCCTCTGCATTCCTCTCTTCTCCAGGTGCATACACGCTTATTATGACCCACTTCTCGCATCCAACCTTTACTTTAATCCACATTAATTCTTGAATTTACACATTCATATTCTCTTTTCTCCTTCATAACTGATCATTTAACATTACTGCTACCCCTTCCTTTGCTCTAACTCTTTCAGATACTCCAGATTTAATCCCATTTATTTCCCCCCCCTGAAACTCCCCTACCCCCTTAGCTTATTTCCCTTAGGGCCGGACATCCAACTTTTTTCATTCATAACATCAGCAACCCATCTGTTTCTTGTCATCCGCACTACATCCACGCACATTTAAGCATCCCAGTTTTATAAAGTTTTTCTTCTTCCTTTTTTTAGTAAATGTCCAGGAGAAGGGGTTACTAGCCCATTCTCCCGCATTTTAGTCCGCCTCATACGACACCATGGCTTACGGGGAAAGATTCTTTCCACTTCCCATGGACAATAGAAGAAATAAAGAAGAAAAAGAGCTATTTAGAAAAAGGAAAAAACCTAGAGTATGTATAAATAATGCATTGCGTGTCTTGAAGTGTGACCAAAGTGTAAGTGGAGTAGCAAGATATCCCTGTTACTAGCTTTGTTTATGAGACAGAAGAAGAAAAAAGAACGTATATATACAACCGAAACAGTCAAAAGGGTTTTAATACTCCCCAGCATTCACTAACATTTCCCAAAATAATTATCTCTCTCCTTCCTCTACTCTTCTCTTTTCTCCAGGTGCAATATAGCTTTACTATAACCCTTTATTGTATCCCATAATCCTTGAATATACATTTATACCCCCTTTTTTTCCCTGCCATAGCTTCCTTCAACATTATTGCTACTCCTTCTTTAGTTTCAAATCTTAATAAACCCTGACCTAAATCCATTTCATTCCACTCTCAATGAATCTCCCACCCCTTCAGGTTTGTTTCACTTAAAGCCAGGACATCCAGCTTCTTCTCATTCATAACATCCACTATCATCTCTTTTATCGTTCGCACAACACCCACACACATTCAGCTAGGTTATATATTAAAATTACAACTGTGCATTACTTGTCAAATATATGATGATGTTGCTATATAAGAAGGTTTACTGTAGTTGAAAATGAAAAAAATCATTGCAGTATGTATGAAATAAAGTTTTTTAGCACTTGAAAATATAGAGTGCAGTAAATCCTCAAATTTGTGGGCTTTGGTTTAATTAACTTTGAAAATGTGGGACAAAATCTGTTGCATTAATTGATTCAGAAATATTTGACAAAATCTGTTAGTTACAGAGTTGTCTTTTATTGTTACAATCACAAAATTATCTCATCTATTATGTATTTTAACACTGACCACCACCTACCTTGTTACGTTAACTCAAGAAAAGAGTAACTACATTAACAGTCATTCATTCAACTGTCTTGCCACAAGCGTGCTGACATCACAGTTCAGATGTACTGTCCTCATCCTGCCTTTAAAATATAGGCTCTGTACTTCTCACCTCCAGAATTCAAGTCTGGTTAATGGGTTTCTCTGAATCCCTTCATAAATCCCTTGCCACTCCAACAAGATGTCAAGCATTAAAAACTGTTTGCCTCTAGGCACTCTGATCTAATGAGCTTGAGGAAGCTTGTTGAATGTTCAAGTCCCAATCACTCAAAAAATGCTTTACCACCTACGTGCAACCTATCCTGGGATAACCCCTATCCCTCCTTCCTGCTCCTCAGTTTTATGTACATGCACTAATAGTCACTCTTGTTTTGTTATAGCCTCTCAGTGTCTAAGTCACCTCAACAACCCTTCCTCATCTCTAAATATCATCATCTTTTGGTAACTGCACACCATCTAATCTCCAAGCTCTGAATTCTCTGCATAATATTTACACCACACATTACCCTAATCATATCTCCACTTGTATTATAAAGATGAAGGGAGGGAAAATTAAAAGTTATTAAGATGCCTTAATGTCCCGTATTCATTGTACATATTTTGCATAGGCAAGTGACATCCTGCCAGGTTCCTCCACTCTTTTTCACATGTTTAAAAACGTTCTTCCTTCAAATTCCTGTCTCTGCCTCTTCTCTTATAATGTCAAATTTTTATTTGTGTAGTTTTGGAATGGCAAGATTACTAACATATATGGTAAGAGGAGACTCATTGTTGAGTAGGTCATTATTTAGAGATGTTTTGACCCACACAGGGCTTTATCAAGAAATTACATACCACAGGTGTCAAAACACTGTGCATTATACAAAGTGATGGCTGGTATGGTAGCCTGGCTGACTACCATACATACCACACTTGATTTCTTACAATAAATACTACTTGTCTCACCCTAGATTAAAACTACAAACATTTTAAGGTAAGTAATGAGTGTAATATATGTGTATTTTACTTTTTTATTGTTTTTTGATGCTTAGTTCTATTACTAACCTAATATATGTTAGTGTAAACTTGTTATCCAGTATTTGTATTCATTTATAAGGGGAAAAAAGGGTGTTCCACTTTACTGCGATTTCTGCTTTACGGCGGTAGCCTGGAACCTAACCTGCTGTATAAGTGGGGCCCTACTGTATGTGTAGAGGAAATTTATTTTATTTAAGAAATTTATTGAGGAAACATAAGAATCATTATGCTGAACAACCACTGTGAAAAATTAGTGAAATTCCAGGACTTTTGTGATTTCTCCTTGATAATGTGAGAAATCACAAAAGCACTCGGAATTTCACTCTTTTTTCAGTGGTTATTCTGCATAATGTGATATCACCTGTTTACTGTGATCTTATTGCAGCAAAGATCATTATATACTTACATAATGAAACAAACAAATTGCTTCTATAGGATATATATAAAATAGTTTATACAGTATTTTCATGTTTAGGACTCTTTTAATATAATAATAATCATATAAAACAGTAATATACACAGTTCTCATGACTATTATTGCAATTATTATTACAGATGCTAAAGTTAAATCTGTGCTTGTTAAGTCAGCTCAAGAGTTCGTTGAGTGGTTGCTGGGTGAAGGGTTGATCCGCACTTCTCAGTACTGCTCAACTCATAAGATGCAACCCAGCCTTACTCCTATTAAACTCAAAGTAAGTGCAATACTCCATCTATTGTTGTTTGACCCCTTTACGAAAAAGGGGATTTCCTTGATCCAATGATTTGGAGCTACATCTCCTCTCTTGCATTATACCTGAGCCTCTTGTTCTCCAGATACTGTATGACATAAAGGTTTAGCACTTCCTGTGAGTAATTGTGTTGCTGTTTGTGAATTGCCAAATTTAATTTTTTTCTTTCCAACAAACCAGCCATATTCCACGGAGGCAGGTCGACCTAAAAAGATAAACTAAAGTTTCTATTTTAAAATTTAGTACAGTGGACCCCCTGTTTTCATTAACCCGTTTTTGTATTTTAGGTTATAGCCGATTCTTTGTCAAAATATAGTCTGTTTTCGTTAATTCCCTCTAGTTTCGTTGGTCGTATGGAACACATCCGAGTGCCCGTGTGCACACAAAGCCTCCCACACACCATTCTGAGTCAGTGTGGCATTGTTTCTTGATGAGTGAACATTATTCTGGGAGGTCATACAAAACATTTCATAATAATACATTGCTTTTTGCACTTGTTTATTGTGTGTGACTGCTAAATAAGCCACCTTGGGTCAAAAGAAAGTTCAGAATGTCAGCCTTATGGTAAAGAAGGTGAGAAACACCATAGAATTCAAGAAAGAACTCGTAGAAAAATGTGAAAGTGGCGTGCATGTGGCGGACCTCGCCAGGATGTACAGAAAGCCCTCATCAATGATCAGTTCCATCGTGGCAAAGAAAAAAGAAATCAAGGAAGCTGATGATGCGAAAGAGTAAATATGCTAACGAAACAGAGTTCACAGACAATTGAAGATGTGGAGAAATTGTTGTTGGTGTGGCTCAACCAAAAACAATTAGCGGGAGATAGTGTTGTGCAGTCGATAACTTGTGAAAAGGCAAGGCAGTTGCATAGGGATCTTGTAAAGAGAGTACCTGGAGTGAGTTCTGTTGATAGAGAATTTAAGGCCAGCAAAGGCTGGTTCGAAAAATTCAGTAAGCGCAGTAGGCATACACAGTGTTGTAAGGCATGGCGAGGCTGCAAGTTCAGACAAATGTGTAGCTGAAGAATTCGTGCATAAATTCAAGGAGTACGTAGAGGCTGAAGAATTTGTCCCCCAACAAGTGTTCACTTGTGACGAAACAGGCCTGTTTTGGAAGAAAAATGCCAAATAGGACCTACATCATGCAGGAGGAAAAGGCACTGCCAGGACACAAGCCTATGAAAGGCAGGCTAACTCTCTTGTTCTGTAGTAATGCTAGTGGAGATTTCAAAGGGAAGCAATTACTGGTGTATCTGAAAATCCCAGAGTGTTCAAGAAAAACAGTGTCGTCAAGACTAAATTGTGTGTGATGTGGAAGGGTAACAGTAAGGCATGGGTCACAAGGCAAATTTTCTCTGATTGGTTCAATGTAGTGTTTGGCCCCAGTGTGAAGAAATACCTCCTGGATAATAAATTGCCACTCAAGTGCCTCCTGGCAATGGACAGTGCTCCTGCTCATCCTCCAGATTTGAATGTCCAGTTGTTGGAGGAGTTTATTTCATCACAGTGAAGTTCTTGCCCCTTATTACCACTCCTCTCATCCAGCCCATGGACCAGCAGATCATTTCAAACTTCAAAAAAACTCTTCACCAAAGCAATGTTTCAGAGGTGCTTTGACGTGACCTTGGACACTGAATTGACCCTAAGAGAGTTCTGGTGGGATCACTTCACTATCCTCAATTGCATAACCTGTATAGATAAGGCTTGGGAGGGAGTGACTTCCAGAATGATGAACCCTGCTTGTAGAAAATTGTGGCCAGAATATGTCCAAGACGAGGATTTTCAAGGGTTTGGGGCTCACCCTGATGACCCTCTGCCTGTTGTGTATTCTGTTGTGGCATTGGGGAATTCCATGAGGTTGAATGTGAGTGGCCAGGCTGTGGAAGAGTTGGTGGAGGACCACAGTGAAGAGCTATCCACTGAAGAGCTGCAAGACCTTCATCTGCAACAGCAACAAACCACAGCTGAGGAAATTGCTTCATTGGAGGAGGAAGAGAAGTGCCTTCCTCAGTGATTAAGGACATTTGGGCAAAGTGGAGTGAAGTGCAAACATTTGTGAAGGAATGTCACCCTAACAAAGCTGTTGCAGGCTGTGTCTGCAACATGTTCAATGACATTGCCTGCCCCATTTTAGGTAAATCTTAAAGAGACGCCACAAACAGAGCTCTCTGGAAAAATTTTTGATGCGATAGGGGTTCAGTGACTCAAGCTGGTCCTAGTGGCATTAAAAAACAATGAAGGGAAGTAACCCCGGATAAGCACTTCATACCTGAAGTCTCTATGGAAGGGGATTCCCTTTCCAAACAATAATCAGTCCTCCCTCTCCCCTCCTCCCCATCTTCCATACACCAACAAGAGTCTTCAGTAAAGGTAAGTGTGATGTTAAATATTCATTTATACATTTTATTAGTGCTTTATATTGATTTGTCATTGTTTTCTGTATATAAATCTATACTCTCAAAAAATTTTTTGTTAATACTTTTAGGTATCTGGAATGGATTAATTGGATTTACATTATTTCTTATGGGGAAAATGATTTCGGTTTTCATGATTTATGAGCTTCGTCAGACTCTCTGGAATGGATTAATTATGAAAACAGAGGGTCCACTGTAATTTATACAGGAGAAGGGATTACTAGCCTCTTGCTCCCAGCATTTTAGTCACCTCTTATGACATGCATGGCTTACATAAGTAGCAAGATATACCTGGTATCCCACATGTTTATGAAACAGAAAAAAAGACATCAGCAATCCTACCATTGTGTAAAACAAAAACTTTTTTTTTTCCTCAACATATCAGTCATCCCCCACCAAGGCAAGGTGATGCGAGAAAGAAACACTTTCACCATTAGTGAAGCATATAGGTGAACAATATTTAGACAAGGGTAAAGAGGTTTTCATTGCATTTATGGATTTGGAAAAGGCTTGTGATAGGGTGGATAGGAGAACAATGTGGCAGATGTTGCAGATGTATGGAATAGGTTTCTGAAAGAAGTAACCAGTTTTTATGAGGATAGTGAGGCTCAGGTTAGAGTATGTAAGAGAGAGGAAGATTATTTCCTGGTAAAAGAAGGCCTTAGACAGGGATGCATGATGTCACCATGGTTGTTCAGTATATTTATAGATGGAGTTGTAAAAGGTGTGGGATTAAGAGATAAAGAATCTAACACAAAGTGGGGGTTGTCATGGTCACTTTTTGTTGATGACTGTGCTTTTGGGAGAGACTGAAGAGAAGTTGCAGAGGTTTGTGGACGAGTTTACAAAGTTATGTACGTATAAGTAGAAAATTAAATGTGAATGTAGGAAAGAGCAAGGTGATGAGGATTGCAAAAAATTTAGATAATGAAAGATTGGATATCAGATTGGATGAAGGGAGTATGGAGGAAGTGACTGTATTCAGATATTTGTGATTGGACTTGTAAGGAGATGGGTTTATGAAAGATGAAGTGTATCATAGAATTGATGAGGGGAAAAAAGGTGAGTGGAGCCCTAACTAGTCTGTGGAAACAAACATCGGTATCCGTGGAAGCAAAGAGGGGAATATGTAAGACTAGAGTGGCGTCAACACTTATATGGGGTGTGAAGCATGGGTGGTGAAGGAGAAGGCTGGAAGCAATGGAGATGTCATGTTTGAGGGCAATGTGTGGTGTGAATATAATGCAGAGACTTCACAGCTTGGAGATTAGGAGGAGGTGTGAAGTTTCTAAAAATATTATCCAGAGGGCAGAGGAAGGGTTGTTGAGGTGGTTTGGACATTGAGAGGATGGAGCAAAATAGAATAACTTGGAGGGCATATAAATCTGTAGTGGAAGGAGGGTGGAGTAGGGTCATCCTAGGAAAGGTTGGAGGGAGGGGGTAAAGGAGGTTTTTGTATGCAAGGGGTTTGGACTTCCAGCAAGCATGCGTGAGTGTTTTCGATAGGAGCAAGTGAAGACAAATTGTTATGACTTGATGTGCTGTTGGAGTGTGAGAAAAGTAACATTTATTAAGGGATTCAAGGAGCCAGTTAACAGGACTTAAGTCCTGGAGGTGGGAAGTTCAGTGCCTGCACTCTGAAGGAGTGATGTTGATGTGTTGCAGTTTTTAACTGTAGTGTAGGCATTCCTCTGGCAAGACAGTGATGGAGTGAATGATGATGAAAGTGTTTCTTCTTATTTTGGTCACCCCTGCCTCGGTGGGAAATGGCTGATCTTTCTTTCAACACACCGGCCGTATCCCACCGAGGCAGGGTGGCCCAAAAGGAAACACGAAAGTTTCTCCTTTTACATTTAGTAATATATACAGGAGAAGGGGTTACTAGCCCCTTGCTCCCTGCATTTTAGTCGCCTCTTACAACACGTATGGCTTACGGAGGAAGAATTCTGTTCCACTTCCCCGTGGAAGTAAGAGGAAATAAACAAGAACAAGAACTAGAAAGAAAATAGAAGAAAACCCAGAGAGGTGTGTGTATATATATATGCTTGTACATGTATGTGTAGTGTGACCTAAGTGCAGGTAGAAGTAGCAAGACGTACTTGAAATCTTGCACGTTTATGAGACAGACAAAAGACACCAGCAATCCTACCATCATCTAAAACAATTACAGGATTTCGTTGTACACTCACTTGGCAGGACAGTAGTACCTCCCTGGGCGGTTGCTGTTTACCAACCTACTACCTAGGAAATGGCTGATGTGTTAATAAAAAAAAAATAGTGCTTATTAAACTTTTTGTATTTTATTTATAGTTTGTTGTGTTTTTTTGTTGGCAAAGAATGTTTTTCTTAGTGTATCTTACCATGGTCACACCATAGCACCATCACCATCTTACAACAAGGACTTGCATGAAGATTTTTTACAGTGATAAATAAGCTAATAAGCTTAAAAAAAGAAACGACAGAATTCTTCAGAGGGATTTGGCTGTGATGAATGTGTGTGGGGGCTGTAGGTAACAATACCCTGGATGATCAGGCAATCATTAGAAAAGTCTGACCACAGACTGCACTGTTGGAGTAGAACAACTGAAACCAGTCACAGGTATGTACATGACTAATAAATTATCAGACATATTTA